CCCATAGACTTCAATGCCGTAAACATATTTCATCCAGTTTTTCTCAGTCTTACCCCCACCCCAATGCCAGCCTCATTCTACAACAGTCTGCCAAACCTTTGTAAGAGAGAAACTGTTTTTTTTTAACTGATAAGAAAATGGAGGCTTTGACACATGAAATAACTCTCTATGACCTCATGCATTACAAGGAAGAGTTTAAAAATGGATGTGCTGACCTCTGAGCTCACTACAGTCTAAACAGTTTTAAGAATGAATATGAAAAAGTTGATTAAATTGAGAAGACGGAGGTTGTTGGCTCTTAGAAAGAGAAGTCTAATAAAAGGTAAGAGGTCAAAGCAAATTTACGAAGGGCTGAGTCGTAATGTGGAAGGAAGTGCAGCAGACAGACAGCCTGAACAACGTTTCTGAAGATTTGAAGGAAGTGCTTGAAGTAGAATTACTTTCTTGGCTAAATAACCTCTTATCTGGTGTCTAGTTAGTATACACATTTTATCTGTTAAAGTCTGTTATATAAGTCTAGTTACAATCTTTTTGTATAATATTGGAAAACCATTTTATACAGTGAATGAGTTCTTTTGTAATATTGTGTGTACCATTGAGTTAGAACCATCTAGTAGTCGACTCTTCAGTGGCTTTTCAGGGACAGTAAACGGCTCAAGAATTATTTCTCATCTTCCTCCAGTGGAGCAGCTGGTAGATTTGAACCGTGTGGCTTTGGATTGGCAGTGCAGCTCCTCACCCACTAGACCATGAGAGCTCACTCTTATATAATAGGATGTTGTTGCTGTTGTTATTGTGCACAGTTGAGTTGGAACCAACCCATAAATGACCCCCAGTAGGTTTTCAGAGACAGTTAATCGCAAGGAAGGAGATTGCTAGTCTTTCTCCTTCAGAGCAGCTGGTGGCCTTGAACCACATGCCTTGGGGATTTGCAGGGCAGCTTCTTGCCACTAGGCCACCAGAGCTCCCGGCCAGATGGGCAAGTAAAGGAAAATTTTGGAGGTCCTGCTTTCTTGGGGTCATGTTTGATGTGTATTATTGCTCTTTCCCCCCAAGAGTGGGTGTCCCTGAGCCTTTGCCTAGGGTTTAAGTCTATTCTAAGGTGTTGGCTTAAAACCCCGCAGAGGTAGGGAGGGGACTGCCGGCAGAGGCCTGGAAGACTCCAGTCTGGGAGTGTTGCTTTTTGCTGCTTTTGGATGCTGGCCGTGATCGGCAAGTAAAGGGAAGTTTTTGGGGTTGTGCTTTTTTGGGGTCATGTTTGATGTGTATTATTGCTCTTTCCCCTCCAAGAGCCTGTGTCCCCTGGATTATGATACATATTCTCTACCACAAGTATGGTATTTATGTATATAGAAAAGACTGAAGGAAAATGCAGCGGTATAGGAATGGTGAGCTCTAGGGGCCTAGTGGATAAAGAGCTGCATGTATAACAGGATAAGTAATATTTTTTCTTTTGTTTTGTGTTGATAGTGGCTTTTTTATATTTGGGATGATTATTTCTTTCAAAACTATTTTTTCTAAGTTTATAAACCTCTTGTGTAACATATTTTCAAAAAACACCTGTTGTGTATTTAATAGATATTTTTCAACTGGTGATAACAATATTATGTTCCGAAATCTAGTTGGATCAACTTAACCTCCTCCTAACTTACTTAGCTTATTAACTTCCACAGATTACATGGTTTTATGAAAATTGGCATTTTTTTAACAAAGGCTAGCCATGTCAGGTGATGGAATGAAGGATGACTGTGAAACTACATAACTGGCAAAGCTCTGGGAATCAGGGCCTAGACGAGCTGGCACCTTGGCCGTGACAGCCAGTGTTGCTTTTCCCTCACTCCTCAGTGTTTGTTATCACTAGATGTGTCATCACTACGTTTTGTTAATATGCAAAGAAGTCAGTGAAGAATGTGCGTATTATTGTTGTCAATGAGAAATGTTGCTAACAAGATACTTGCTAAATAAAGAGCAGTTATTTTCACTGCCTTACCAAGCTCTGGACTTCTTACACTTGAACTTTTTCTATTTGTAGATTGACGTTGCACCATTGATGGCTTCCCTTATTGGAGTTCCCTTTCCTCTTAATTCAGTGGTAAGGAATAATGTTTTATTGCCACACATAATACTACTACCCAATAAAGTTACACTTGGTTAGGTATTTGTTTCTGTCTAGTTGTTGCTGTCAACTCCGAATCGACTCCGAGCTGATCCCTTAGTGGACGTTCAGAGGCTGTAAATCACACAGGAGGAGACTGCCCATCTTCTCCTGAGGAGCAGCTGGTGGGTTTGAATTGCCTTCCTCTGGGTTGTCAGTGCAACTCCATCCACTAGGCCACCAGGGCTCCCTGTGTGTATACCACTGCATTTTCCTGTACAGTCTTTTCTAAATAGATACATGCAATACTTGTGGTATAGCCTACTATATTCCTTGAAAATGTTTTATTTTCTAAAATAGGATATAGATTTATATGTTTATTTTCTAACTATAAATTAAAAAGCCTTAAAACTATTGCCTTGGGGTTGTTTCTGCCTCACCATGACTCTGTCAGGTTGCTGAGGCTGTAAATCTTTGTGAAAAGAGTCTGTCCATTTCTTCCTCTCAGAACAGCTGAATTTGAGCTGCCAACCTTTACACGTAGCCTGGCATGTAGCACCATTACAAGCAGCAGAGACTTGGTCCCCTTAAAGGGAATTTAGCAAAAGCTTGCTGACTCCAGGTTGAGAAGAAGCCTTGCAGAATGAGCAGGAGCCAGAAGAACCCTGCAGGTTCTGAAGGAGGAACCCAAATATAGGATGCTGCGCTGGAGAGAGCAGGTCCACAACTCCTACTGGTTTTCCAGCTTGGTTCCCTAGAGTCAGACTTTGGACTGTAGTCCTTTGGGTGGCCTACTCTTTGTTATTCCTAGTCTGTAGGGAACATTGCTTCCAACCCAACAGCCACACCTTTCTATTGGTTCAAATCCAACAGTGGCACCTCAGGAGAAGCTGGACAATCTTCTTCAGTGAGTTCACACCTCAGAGACCGAGTTGAGGGTCTGTTGAGTCAGTTCTGACTCCACAGCAATGAGTTTGGTTTTGGGTTTGGAGATTTTTTTATCAGTAGAAGGTAGAATTCCTCATTAAAGAGCCGTCCTGCTTCATAGATAATGTTGGCTTCATTGATTGAAGTTAGGAAGTATTCCCTCTTCTTTCATTTTTTTTTTTTGTGGGAAAGTTTGAGAAGGAATGACAATTTCTCTTTAAAGAATTGGACAAAAAGATACTTAAAAATTGAGTTGACACTAAGATTTGTGTTCTGGCTTCAGACCCGTTCAGATGCTAGATTTATTTGTATGGCTTCTGAAGTAAATTTTCGGGTTTTGTAATCATCAGTGAAAAAAATGGTTGTGAAGTTTCAAAAAAATAAGTGACACAATATGTGTAAAGCACTCAGTTCAGTGCTCACCATAATCATTTAAAAATTGCTAATCTTTGTTGAACTAAGTTATTATTATTTTTTTTTTACTTTTTATTTACTGTACTACATTTCGTTTAGGGAGCTCTGGTGGCCTAGTCCTTAGGCAGTTGCCTCACTAACCCAAAGACTTTACCTCTCTGTGCTTCAAACTCATTAGCAGCTCTGAGAGACAAAGATGGGCAACTGCCTCCTCTGTGTTTTCCAGTTTCAGAAACCCAGTGGAGTGTTAGCTAGCTGTGAGTCTATTCCAATTTAACAGCAGTGAAAGAAATTTAATTTTTAAGAATAATAATTGACCATTTATTAGTTATGGTTTGGAAAGATATTTCCTGTCAACTATTCTAGTAGTTAATTTATTTTTTTTAATATTTCTCATTTTTGCTGCTCTTTTCCCGGGTCTATGCTGTTTTCTATGAACAGATTAGGTTTTTTAAATAAAAAAATTAAGGCCCTGTTTATTATTTGCAGGGTACCCTTCCTGTGGATTACCTTAATACGACCAGTCTCTTCAAAGCCCGGAGCATGTTTACAAATGCGGTCCAGATTCTCCAACAGTTCAAGGTAGAACAAACAAAGTCTCACGCACAACATATGTGACACTACAATTTTAAAATCAAGTATATAAAGTTGGAATATGTTTGTGTTTTAAGAAATGGCTTTTTATGACAAATTATCTTTCCCTTTGTGTGTGTGTGTGTGTGTACGTGTGTGCGTGTGTATATATATAAAATCTGAGGTTCCCAAGTCAATTTCTGAGTAATTATGCTTTCAGAAATACTCCTAATTGTTGATAGGTATCTGTATGAGATGGAGACTTGCCCCATAGAAGGAGAATTGGGGAATCTGCTGTTTCTTCTAAGTCCTTGGCTGCATATTGAATACTTAAAGTGACAGACCTTTCATGGAAAACTCTTATCCTTTACTGTAGCAATGCTCTTTCATTTATTTTGTTTTCTCAGTGTTACAGGTAGTACAATTTAGTGACATTACAATATATTATTTTGAAGGCTTGATACGTTTAAATCTCAGTTTTTGCTGATAACAAGTTAAAGCTAAATTTGTTCTTTGACTATTTGTGAAATAATATAGTAACAAAAGAGTAAACTTATTTTCAATATACTTAACCATCTCCAGAGGAACATTTTAGTGGATGTTTATAATTTAAGAAGAAATTAATATTTTTATTTTTAGTGTAAGAATATGCTTTCATACTTGATTCCCAGGTGAAAATGACACGGAAAAAAGAAGTGACTTTATCGTTTTTATTTACACCATTTAAGTAAGTCTCTTACATCTTTCAATATTTACCTTGCAGAAGGAATTTCTTATTGAGCTCTATGCTAAAAAAATTAGTTTACTCAGAAACTTTTGTCTTCTTGTGTACACGTTAGTGACAGTTCCAAATTAAAATTAATTTTGGTAAATTATGTGTCAAATGCTGGAAACCTTTGAATAGCTGGGTGGGGAGAGAGAGGAATTAAGAGGAAACTTGAAAACATTGAAGTGGATCCCGTAGAGCTGACTGTTGGCATAGGATGTGAAGCAATAGTACACTTGTTTCATTTTATATGTCTTGATTCTCAGGATTTGAATCCCAGGCTGTTACCATTTGAGTGCTGTTATGAGTAGGAAATGAAAACTTCTAAATTCAATGAAAGTTAAACATGCTCAGTGAAAATACAGAAATGGTGACCCTAGTCTTCGTGACAGAGGATGTAATACTCTGAAAAACACAATGAAAAGACTAAAGGGCGATGTGTTAGAAGTGCAATTATGACATAATAATACCACTGGTCTATAATACTAGATTTATAAAAAGGTATGATGGAGTAATTTGGTATAGGCATTCCTAAACGTCATTTCCTATTTTAATACCATTTAAAAGGAGGAGCTCTGGTGGCCTAGTGGCAAGGAGCTGCAACTACAATCCCAGAGGCGCACGGTTCGAATCCACCAGATGCTCTGCCGAGGAAGGAGGGACAATCTCCTCCTGTACCAGTCAGATCTGATTTGACGGTACACTCACACAAAAATAATAAAATTTAAAAAAAAATGTACATTTGAAAAAAATACGATTTAAAAGAAGAAAGGTAATAGAAGTATTCTGACAAATACTTAAGACCTGTGCTGTCAACTGGCTTATTACAGTTCAATTCCTTCCTGCGAACTTGTATTTCCACCCCAGATCTAGTGGATCAGCATCTACAGTTTAACAAGATCCACAGGCAATTCTTATATACGCTTAAGACTGTGTTTCATACATAAATATTTGCCTACATGTAATGAAAATCTAATGGGTAAAGAGTTGTGCTGCCAACCCAAAGGCAACCAGTCCAAATCCACCAGTTTCTCCACAGGAGAAAGCTGGGTAATCGTCTCACCCCTGGGCCTATGTAAGGAATGTGATATCACGTGAGATGGAGAAAGTACTGAAATTGTCAGTGATCTCACCTTGTTTGGATCCACAGACAACATATTTTCAAACTTTGTGTCATTAAAACCAAATTAAAACAAAAACCCCAAAACAAAACATGTATCTTAAGACTCTGTACATAATTTAATAAATGCTCCTGGATTTTATTTTTTAAAACAAACAAATCAAATTAAAGCTATTCTTTGGAAGTGTTCATGTAATCCATAACATTACAATTGGGCCAAAGGCTTGCTTGCTTATTTTGATTTTAATTAGCCTTTCTTTTTCAATTAAAATTTGTAATTATAATAAACATTTTAAGTATATGCATTTTCATTTGTAGGTTGCTTTCTAGTTCTAAACAGCTCAAAAGTTTAAGGAGAGCACGTACTTACATGCGGCAGGGGAGGCATGAAGAAGCAGTAAGTAGAACAGTTTGTGTGTGCACCTTGCTACTGTGTTCCAGGTGTGGAAAGGTGAGGCATGCAGGTGACAAGCCACGAGGGGAGGTCAGGCAGCTTTCTGAACCCCCAAGAAAGGCCTGGATTCCTTGACAGAAAGTAGCCAAGTACTACATACTATAAAAAACAAGCCAACCAAAACCCATTTATGCCATTGAGTTGCTTTCAATTCATATTGTTGTTTTGTAATGTTGAGTCTGAACCAACTCATTAGCTAATCCTTTCATGAGTTTTCAGAGGAAATAAATCACATGGAAGGAGACTGCTTGTCTTTTTCCCCAAGAAGCAGCTGGTGTATTTGAACCATGTGCCTTTGGGTTTTGCTTGGCTCCATAATCAACACCCATGGTAATAGCATTCAAGAAATCAAAAGCCATGTTGCACTGGGAAAATCTGCTGTCTAGAGTCTCTCCAAAGGGCTAAAGAACAAGATGAGAGTTTAAAGACTAAGCAGTTCCTGATTCAAACCATAGCATTTTGATTGCTTCCTATGCAACTGAAAGTTGGGCAGTGAATACAAACATCAGGAGAAGAATCAATGCCTTTACATCGTGCTGTTGCAGAAGAGTGCTGAATATCTCATGGCTGCCGAAAGAACAAAACAAGTCTCCCGTCAACAAACGAATGGATAGAGAAGCGCTGGTATATTCACACAATGGAATACTATGCAGCATTGAAAAACAAGAAACTCATGAAATTTTGTGGAAAATGGATGACCCTGGAGGACATTATGCTGAGTGAAATATCACAGTCACAAGAGGTCAAATATTGCATAGGGCCACTGTGGTAAAATGGGACTGACATCAGGGTTGAGGGAAGACAGAGAAGGAGGGGAGGAATGATGTATACTGCGTTGAAACAGATGAGGAAGAGAACTGTTTAAAAGGGGTATATGTGTGGGTATTATTGTCATGACAGGATCCAGAGTGAAGGCTGCATAGTGGAGTGGACTTGGGGGAGGGATTGCAAAACAATGAAAGAGTTTTTCTTTCACTTTTCAAAGAGAAGAGTAAATTGGGGGGAATGATGGGCAGGGAGAAAAGTGCAACAATGAATGACTGGAAATTCTAAGTCTCTGTAAAGTTTCATTAAAATTAATTTAAAAAAAAAGGAAAGAAAAGGCCATGGCCTGAAGAGGTAAAAAAAAGGCACAAACAAGTTTGTCGTGGAAGAAGTACAATGAGAGGCTTCTCAGGGGCAAGTCTGGTGTAACTTCATCTCACATGCTCTGTTCTTAGAAAGGACTAGTCCCTGGAAAAAAGATGTCGTGCTGGAAAAGGCGGAGGGTTAGAGAAAGGAAGACCTTCAATGAGATGGGTGGGCACAGTGGCCATAAGAGTGCGCTCAAGCATATCCAAGGCGGTGAGGATGGTGTGGGCTACGGCAGGCTTGAGACAGAAGGTCATAGAGTTGCTATGAGTCGTGGCCAACTCACTGGTGACTAACAAGAACTACCAACAGTTGATTGGAAACTGCCAGTTGTTCCTCAGAGGGAATATGTGAGCAGTCTCCTTCTGTGCAGACACCCAATAGAGGATGAGTATGGATCAGAATCAACTCAGTGACTGTGGGTTTCCTGTCATCATTCATGACTAAGTTAACTTTATTCATTCCTTCTTGATTATACACTGCAAGAATCCCATAGTCAATAGAGATCCATCACCTACAGTGACTTTAATCAAATGCTTTGGCATCAGGCACTTGGCCGTCTTTCTTTCTTTGTCCTTTATTTACTCTCTTTCTTTCCTTCCTCCGTAGATCTCCCTTTGCAAGGAGCTGATTGGCCTTGCACTGGAAGGATTGTCCTATTACCACACTTATGACCGGTTTTTTCTGAGGAGCAGTGTGGTTATTGGTTTTGTGGGATGGGCATCATATGTGTCTTTGCTGCTCATCAAGCCTCATACAACCTTTACAAGAAATGTTAGCAAAGAAGTTAAGGTGGGTTCAGAGAATATAAAAAGCCTTCATGTAATGTATGCAAATATAAGGAGTGGTGAAAGAGATGTAATCAAACCGTAGTGGTTCTTAGATTTCACGAGGTATAACATTAAGCTCAGTCTTCCCTCTCATTTGCTTTTACTGCATCAGGTAATTTTTTTCCTTCAGTTGTCTTTCCATCTTTGGCTAGACAAAAGAAGAACATTTTAATAATACTGACCCTGAAACTTCATAGGGCTCTGAGATTGCTTCAGAGCTTCATTTTTCTGTGGTATTGATTTGGGTTTTCTCTTACACTATTTAACAGAATGTAAATATTCTATATATAGCCACTTTGAAAATTAGCACAATACATTTAACTAATTAAAAAAATACATTTAACTTTTGGGCTCGCTTTGGCAGCACATATACTAAAAAATGCATTTAACTTTAATGAAGTTAAAATTTAATAATCAGGAGGGAATAAAACTCACTTCTAATTCTACTTTTGAAACTTTTCCTTTTTTACTTCTTTTCTTCTAAAAGAAGGAAATAAACAAACCTAGAAAGTGCCTGTTACTTTTATAAATATTGCTATGGGATTGTGTCAGGTTGTCATTTCATCCTACCATTTGTGATGCTAACTTCTATCACCACAGACAATTAAATTCAGAATTCTGTTGTAATATGCACTTTCCCTTTTGTAATTAAGAAGTTATTCTTGAAACGATACGTTCAGATGACAAAAATACTCTTTCCCCCCCCAGCCTGTCATCATGGCTTCAGTGTTTGCTGTGGAGACACGCTGGGATCAGTGACCAGCTAACATAACAGAATTCTTATCTCTCGTCTCATTGTGGTGTCACTAGGAGAAATAGGATGTTTCCCTTACTTTACTACATCTCTTAAAAATCTGTCAGATGACATGGGTTTAGGATTGTTTCAATTTTTTGTTTGCTTTTCAGAAACCAAGCTACGTTCCGCCCTGTAGTTTTGTAGCTGTTGGCATTTTAATGGCATTTTTCCTCCTGATCCAATCCTGTCCCTGGACCTACTACATGTATTGCTTGTTGCCAGTGCCCATATGGTATGCGGTTCTAAGAGAGTAAGGAACATGTCTTGCCTTCTCATGCTGTGGGTTGTTTTTTTTAAATTATTGTATTATAACAAATATGTATTTAAAACAGATTAATTTTCTGCATCATAGTCATCAGACTTTATACGCTTTAATGATAAAATCCTCGTAATTAGTTTGTCGGTGTATAAATGTGGTACATAAATATTCTATTTTGTTTTCTATTTTCCTGTTTGAATCACTCGGTCTCTAATTGCTCTTGAATCAGAACGACCCATAGCTGACCCTCCTGTGGGCTTGGAGAGGCTGCAAATCACATGGGATGAAATTGCCCGTCTCTTCCTGAGGAGGAGCTTGTGGCTTTGAGTACAATCCGTAGATCATCGTCACCCTCTGGTGCCTTAGTAGTAAGGAAAAGCTACGTGGTTCAGATCCAGAAGTTGCTCTGTGGGAGAAGAACGGACAGTCCCCTGCTGTGCAGTTTACTGCGTCTGAAAACTCACTGGAGGGTCAGCTCTGAGACAGTTCTGACTCTGTGGGACACACAACAAAGTTGGGAAAGGTAGTTTAAATCGTAGAAGAGTTAGAACTAAGATTTTCCCCTTCCCAAATCAAATGACAAATTCTAAATAACTAGTGGATCAAACAAGAAATCACAAGAGAAACTGTTGTTGTTATTGTTGTTGTTATGTGCCAGTGAGTCACCTTCCGACTCATAGTGACCCTGTGTACAGCAGCTCTGAATCCTGCCCTGTCCTGAGCCAGTCTCACTGACTCTGACACACCTACCCCCATGGCTCCAGTTACTGTCAGTCCATCTCATCCAGGGCCTTCCTCTTCTGTGCTGTCCTTCCACCCTCTTAAGCATGATGTCCTTCTCTGAGGACTGGTCCTTGCTGGCCACATGCCCAGATGTGAGATGGAGCTTCAAAATCCTTGCCTTCAAGGAAAAACTGAATTTCACCCTCTCTAAGACAGTTTGTGTTCTTGACAGTCCATGGTATGTTCAATATTCTTCTCCAGCGCCACAACTCAAAGGCATCAGTTCTTTTACCATCCTTAGTCATTGTCCAGCTCTCTGGTGCATAACAAGTATTTGTGAAGACCATGGCTTGGATCAGGTGTACCTTAGCTTCTAGACTGACTTCATTGCTCTTTAGCATGTTGAAGAGGTTTCTGACA